GAGCTTCCTGTTGTAAGCAAATACACAATTTTTTTGTAAATAATTTTTAAAAATAAAAATGAACACAGTTAACAAGCCGTTAATGAGTTACAAACCCCAAATGAACAATGCAGAAGGGAACCTATTCAAAATTACTACGGTTTACTGGCACAGTATACCAATTTATTCCACTACCACATACATATAACATGTACAAAACAAGTATCTCTGATGGTGTTGCACACTGGAATGTTCTTCTGTATTTAAGAACACTGGAACATTTTAGAAATACTATATACTGTGTACATCCTAATAAAGAACATTCAGCTGTGGCCCTAAATGCTTAGATTATGTGATTCAAAGTCCTGATGTGGGGCTTGAACCCACAACCTTCTGACTCGCAGACAAAAAAGCTAAATCTGTGATCATCGAGGCTGTTTCAAGAGGAAATTGGGGCACACAGTGTCAGCATAGAGCATTCCCATTTTAAAAGTAAAGTTTGCTCCTCTCTGTCACAAAAGTGTGCTTCATCTCCAATCTCAGAAAAGCTGAGCAGCCAGTTCCACAATGTTAGTGACCCCACCAACCCACATCCTGATCCCATTCCCTGGAAAAATGTGTGCTACAAGTAAGCTTACAATTGCATTAATCTCTACCTGACCTGGGCAGTAGAGAGGAAGGTGAGGTTGTCTGGATTGAGAATTCCAAAACTTTTTAAAGTTAAGTTAAAATCTGTTGTTTAAACTACACCCTCAGGAAGGGTTAAAGATAAATGAACTCTTAAACTGTACTGCTCCTTTAATTCATTGACAACAAATGAAATCCACCTTACACAAATACTTTGTTGTGACAAAACAAAATACTGAGGATGCTGAAAATCTGAAACAAAAGCAGAAAGAGCTGGGAAAACTCCGCAGTCAGGGAGCATCTGACAAAGGGTTGTGGATCTGAAAAGTTGACTCATTTTCCTTTCTCCATAAGATGCTGCCTGACCTGCTGAGTTTTCCCAGGTCTCTCTGTTTTTGTTTTACTTTATTGTGACAACTGCCCAAGATGTATTGTATCTAATCTATTCAGCTCACTACTGCCTCTAAACCTACTTTCCACATGCAAACTTTGTACATCAGTTAAAAAAAAACAAATATTAAGAATAAAGATCCCACTGTATTTCCAGAACTTTGATCACAAGACTATGTTATGAGTGACTGTAAAAGAGATGGCCATAACTCAATTACTCAGTTATTTTACGGACATACAAACTCATGACTAAATACTACCCTAATGGAATTTTTTTGTATAGTGAAGCAACAGGAAGATTTATCAGTCAATACCTCACGTGCAAATCACTGGTCACTCAGCAGGCTAAATGTTAATTAAATTAGACGCAGACCTCACAATTGTTTCATTTATAAATGCCTATATTGAATGTACCATCTGTTATTTTTTATCTCCTGTTTAATTTGTAATAAAATGTCTGAATCTTTTTTAAAAAAACTAATTGATCTACATTGTGAACAATCGCAACATGCAGCTTTATGACTGGATCAAAAGCCATTTGATTAACAATAAAGATAATAACAACAATAATCCTTATCAAGAATGCCTGGCTCACAAGTCTATATCATCCCATACCTTGGTGATTACATTACAAAAATGTGTTTGTTGTACATGTCAGGCTAGATTTTTCACCAACGCATCCCACTTGATAACTTGATTTTTGAAAGACAAATGGTCTCAGAGCAGGTTCTACCTTGGCTCATTTCTTAAAAAGTTTTACCATCTTTTTGTGGAATATCATCTAATTCTCAAGGCCAGCACTGTCTGGATCTGTGTGACAGGGATCAGCAGTTTATTCAGAACCACTCTTTGTTCTCTTGCTTTATAAAGTGGGTCAACCCCTCAAAGTCTCCATCTATCCCTAGAACTTGGCTTTTCACCTGGTTCTCTCTCAGCTTGTGCCATTTAAGATTCCTCTCTGAAAGTCTGTTGTTTTCAACCCTTTAACTTAGTTTGATGCAAGTGCTCCTCATAGTATCAGATTTGGCATCTGATCAAGCAGGCCGCAGACTCCAAAGTTCCTAAACCTTGGGTGAATGGCAATGTAACATCTATAATTTAATCCTTGTAAATAAATCCTAGTAAGTATCTTAACAAGAAGTAATCCTGGTATTCAGAGATTATTTGGATAAAATTAAGCATGTCTACACAAGAGATTATTTGCAACAAAGGAATCCTCAAGTGCAATCAAACTTTACACCTAGATCAGATTTGTTAGGGACTGGTATGCTTCAATGCAGTACACACATGCATTGTCTCTAAATAAGGTAATAGCTAGCAAACCACTATGTACTTTGCATTGCCTTATTTATATTTCTCTTACTGTTGCAAACCCACACCAAAATGTTAACCTTTTACAAAGCAAGAAAAGGAGGGACAACAAAGAGAGATTTGAACTATTCTAATTAATATTGTGGTGAACTTTGACTTCCTTTCATTGCCAGTATGTGGAGCAACTTTTGATTGTAGTCTTACCCACAGAGCTTGTTTGTGAGTGGAAAGAATTAGAAAGATCGAAATCTACTGCACGGAAGGAGATCATTCACACTATCGAGTGTGCATTGGCTCACAGAACAAGATCATTTCAGTCCCACCGCCCCACATTATCCCCATACAACAACTTGCACTTATATAGGTACCCTGCATGCAGGGTAGCGTCTCAGAGCACTTAACGGTGGCAGAGCTGCCTCTGAATCGAAAAGGAAGGTTTTCAGGCGAGACTTAAAAAGGGGGAGAAAGGCAGCAAGACGGAGGGATTGAGGGAAAGTGTTCCAGAGATTCGGGGGGTAGTAGCTGAAAGTGCAACCTCCGATGGTGGGGCCGAGGGTGCGAGGGACGAGCAGGAGCCGAGTGGGGTCGCCGGATGGTGGATTGGGGAGTGAGGAGGTCGGAAACGTTGGGAGGTGCCAGGGAGTGAAGGGATTTGAACACGAGTGTGAGGATCTTGAATTTTATGTTTGGTGATAGGGAGCCAGTGGAGCCTGGGTCAGAACTGATGAGATGTGGGTATGGAGTTTGGGCGGGGAAGTAATCGGGCAGCAGAGTTCTGAATTAGCTGGATTTTTTGTATTGTGGAGCTGGGGAGACCGGAGAGAGGTGCAGTGGGTGGGGAAATCGGCGAGCAGTGCGTGGGTGGGGTGGGGAAATCAGCGGGGAGTGCGTGGGTGGGGTGGGGAGACCAGCAAGGACCCCGTCACACCCCTCTCTTCATGCGCTTATCGACTGCCCTCTTAAAAGCTACATTAGGCCACCAACCTACTCAGCAGGCAGTCCACATCTCAACAACTCTCAAGGTGAAATATTCTTTCTAAGTTAACTTTTTGCTATTCTTATGGCTATCGTATAACTATGTCCACTAATCACTTTGTAAAGACCCCTCATAATTTTGTACATCTCTATTAGGGCCATAGTTAACCAGCTCTGCTCCAACTTCTCCAATCTTTCCTCATAACTGTAGCCCTTCAACCTCAGAAAACCTGAAGTGAGGTGCCCAAAGCTGGACCCAATGTGGTCTAATCAATGATTTGTACAATGTAGCGTTATTGCTTCAATTTTGTACTCTATGCCCCATATATGAAACCTAACATACTATCAGCTTTCTTTACAACCTTTGTCACTTGTGATGTCACTTTCAATGACTTATGTATTGCATTCCCGAATCCTTTTGCTCCTCAGCTCCTTACAAGATACTGTCACTCAATACTCAGTTTCTACCAAAATTGATCACCTCACATTATTGAACTTCATTTAATTAATTTAATTCGCCATTAATCAACCCATTGTGCTAATCTGTTTAAATCTTCTTGCAGTCTCTATTCACTCTAACTTCCTAACTTGGCATCATCCACAAACTTTGATACTGTAGCTCCTGCATCCAAGTCAACGGTGATTGATATGTATGGAGAAAAGGAGAGGTCCCAGCACAGCCACCTGTGGCAAGCTGCTAACTACCTTCCTCCAACTGGAAAAAACAATCTTTAGCCCTACTTTCTATCTTTCAGCCATCTATCCAAATTGCCACATTTCCCCCTATTTCAGGTGCTGTGAGTTTCTACACAAACGTCCGTGCAGAACCTTATCAAATGAAATCCACAGACACAACATCCATAGCGGTGCCTTGACATCCCCTAAACTCTACCACCAATTTACTGCTTTCATCCCTAAGTGGCCCAATCCCCTTATGAAGTAGGTTTCACTGCCTTTGTGGTTGTTCACTGTATTAATAGACATACATAAGCTTCCCTTTTGCCCTTATTATCTTCCTGATATATTTTGAAAGCCATGGTACCCTATGTTTAGTTGCATCACCCCTTGCTTGGAATGTGCTTGCTGTGCACCCTTCAATCTCACCCTTAAATAGATCCCATCATTGCTGTTCAGCTGTTGTATGTGCCAATATCTGTGTCCAATTTATACACTCTCTTTATCTCTCCCTCTTTGTCACCTTCCCCAATATCTCAGGCAAGTGGTCTTTCTTGATGTGTGAACCTAAACTATGTGGCCATTCCAACTCTGGCTAGAGAAAAAGGCCAACGGCTCTTTCCAGTAAAGGGGAAGGCACTGGGTAACAAATCTGGTTGGTTTTTTTCTCTTCCTGAAACGAAGGACAGTGAATCTAATTGTATTGCTCCCCCCTCCCCCATACGATTCCATCTGAGAAAAGCTAATTCGGCACAGACCAGAGATCCTTGAATGTGTATGGCTCAGTACCACACGAGCAGCACAAACTACACCCTAAACTGGATGAGAAAGGGTCCATACAACAAAATTCAAAATGTAAGTCTTAAACAGCATGAAATGGCTGCCCTTAAAATAGGATTACTTTGCTTTAGAATGACATGTGACACTGTCCGAAGTGAAAATAGCCTGGTATAATTGACAGTTCAGGGCATGCCAGGACAGCTGGGACCTGAATAAAGTATGTGTAAGACTCAGTCACAGTGAAGCTGTCACAATTCTGACTAGGTAGGACTTCCAACATATGGCTCATATAAAGCAAGTCTGTCAGACCATGGTTTAATTCTGCACACACTCAGGCTGGTCAAACATTTATGGGATTTAAGCAGTGAAATCTCACAGTGAAACCCTCTCTAAAAAATATTACGTTCCAGATGAAACAAACTGCATCTCCGTGTTGACGGCACCATTTCCACTATTCGTACTTCCAACCCGCTGTTTGAAGATGAAAGGAAATGTCTTTTTAAATGATTTTCTGAAATTGGCTCCCATAAAGGCATAGACTATTGGATTGACTGAAGAATTTGTGTAGGACATGCAGTTTGCCCAGATCTTGACCTTGTATGTGTAGTAATTTCTGCCAAAGTTTGGAAGAAATGACTGGAAAAGGATGTATAACTGAATGGGACCCCAGCAAATGGCAAATAGAAGAACCATAACTGCCAACATCCTGGAGATCTTTGTACGCATGGCCTCTGACCTTTCAGCGAGTAGCTCAACCTGCAAAACACAGTTACAGTTTGTGAAGCGACAACAAGAAACATTAACAAAAATGCAAATCTTTTTGTTTCTGCGAATAATTGAATTTCTCCTTATACTGATACTGTAATCTGAATTAAGCCCTGAGGGAAAGTGGTGGATTTACTTGACCAAAAACAATACTGTATTAAAACAACGCAAAATATTGCAGATGCTGGAAATCTGAAACAAAAACAGAAGTCGCTGGGAACACTCAGCAGGTGTCAGTTCTGATGAAGAGTCGTGGACCCGAAATGTTGACTCACTTTCCTTTCTCCGTAGATGCTGCCGACCTGCTGAGTGTTCCCAGCCATTTCTGTTTTTGTTTCTGTATTAAAATAATACTTCTAGTTTCATTTTTAGATTATCTACAGAAGATTATGACACATTACTTTATGATCATCATTATGAATTTGGGGAAAAGATTCAGTTCCATTAAAGAATCCTCAATTTTTAGCTGGAGCTCACTGCTCGGAGATACCCAATGCCTTGGTTTCTGGTTTGCCTTTGTAGCTATTGCTAAGGCAAATTGGCAAACCTTCACCTAGTGTCCAAGCGAAACATATAAACCCTGAGGAATAACAAGAGTTCATCGCTTTGTGGCAATACATTGCCAACATATCAACACAACAACAAAATTTGTATAGCGCCTTTCACATCAGGAGGACGTCCCAAGGTTCTGTATATGAGGAGTTTATTTGGTGTTTGCTAATATGTTAAGCTGGAATACATAAATAATAGATGCCACATTATCTAAATTTTCCGAACTTTGAGTTTTGATTGGCAGCTTTTTGATTGACAGGTGAGTTGCCTGACCAAACTATCTTGTTTCCATGGCAAAATGCAGGTGCAATGTCTTGGCGTCTCTCTCGCGCTGGCCCTGACTTGTTAATATGGCAACTCTCAAAATGTCTCACTTGTCCCACCCGACAAACCCACAAAACAACTTTTGGAGCTTTTTATATATGTATATAAAAGCCCATCTTTTTGCATAGTGGGAGCAACAGAGACTGAAGGAAACAAAACTGAGTTCCAGTATTATATATCTAATATATCTTAAGTAAACAATGACTTTCATGGGCAGTTTGTGCTAGATTTATTAGGTTTTCCACCAAGCATATCTCTATATAAGTAAAGCCTACCTGGTAGTTATTGTCTATGGGTTCCACAACTGGTCGACCCATCTGATGCAGCATGCCAGTGTAGGACACACAGATAGTCACCAGAGGCAGCAGGTACACAGCCAGGAAATTATACAAGATAAAAGCCTTCTCGTGCACGGCTGAAGGGAAAGACTCGCTGCAATAGACCTGGGGCCCAAACCAGTATCCGCTTTGAATTTTCTGATATATTGGCACAGGAATAGACACAACAAAGGACCCTGTAATAGATTAGCAGACAATTATTTCTTACACATATTAATAATAATCATTGCATTTGACACAGCGCCTTATCATGTCTTCGAAACGTCTCAAAGCGCTTCACAGAATAAACTGTAAAGTGAATTGGTGGCAGCAGCAGTGCACAGCAGTGTCCCCACAAACAGCCGTGACCAAATTATTATTATTATTATTTTGTTGAGGGATTATTACTCCCAGAAAAGTGATCTGTCAATCGACGAACAGCCGGGTTCCTACTTACTGCTGGTGAACATTGGTGTGTGGAGTAAGGAAACTTGCCCAACATTTTGCTCTGCCCAGGAATCAAACCCAGGTCTCTCGCTTGCGAGGCGAGTGCATTAACCACTGAGCTACAGGACTCCAAGTAGCTCCTGCAGCAATGTGGTATAATTGTAATAATAATAATATTATTATTGGTATAATTGTACATCTTTAATTGTATAACAAGTTAATATGGTTATATATTATTCATTATATTCTTTCAAATTGTTTTCTCCTTTACATTTCTTCCCTTCTCCTTTAGCTGTAGACAATTGTAATATCACTTTAGGATTAATCCTTGTTTGCCTGTTAATGATCCCATGGCACTATTTGAAAAGAGAAGGGAGTCCTGGCCAACAATCCCCTAGATGAATTGGTCATTCACTTCATCGCTGTTTCGGAGACTTTGCTGTGCGCAAATTGGCTGCTGCATTCAAAAATAAAACGGTAAATCCCAACGTGAAATGTAAGAATTATTATTATTATAAGCCCAGTCAAAAAAATTCCCCAATGAGACAGTTTAGTGTAAAAGGAAATAGTGTTCACATTTATTTTCATTTCCATTAATGGGGAAAGGACAATATTGGTAGAATTATTTCTGTTCCTGTTTGGTTGTGACTCACACATCAAAATAAGATTCCTTGACTTTGATCCAGTGCCTTATCATGTCAAAACATCCCAGAGGTTCACACAGTTTTATTGTAAAGTGACTATTTATAGGCAAATCAGCCACATTACATAGTAATGTCCCACCAAGAGCCGTGCAGTGAATAATTTGGGGACTGTTGGCAAGGAAACTCCGAGAGACACCCTTCTCTTTTCAGAAGGTTAGAGTGTGAGAGAGTGTAGGATTTTTAGTATCCACCCAAACAGGAGACTGAGAGAGTGATTGAGAGAGAGGGAGAGTGTGAGAGGGGGAGAGTGTGAGAGAGGGAGAGGGGGAGAGTGTAAGAGCGTGTGACGGGGAGAGTGTGAGTGAGTGTGACGGGGGAGAGTGTGACAGGGGGAGAGTGTGACAGGGGGAGAGTGTGAGAGTGGGAGAGAGTGACAGGGGGAGAGAGTGACAGGGGGAGAGTGTGACAGGGGGGAGTGTGAGAGTGGGAGAGAGTGAGAGTGGGAGAGAGTGTAAGAGGAAGAGTGTGAGAGAGTGTGACGGGGGGAGAGTGTGACAGGGGGAGAGTGTGACAGGGGGAGAGTGTGACAGGGGGAGAGTGTGAGAGTGGGAGAGTGTGAGAGTGGGAGAGAGTGACAGGGGGAGAGTGTGACAGGGGGGGAGTGTGAGAGTGGGAGAGAGTGAGAGTGGGAGAGAGTGTAAGAGGAAGAGTGTGAGAGAGTGTGACGGGGGAGTGAATGTGAGGTAGAGGGGGAGAGAAAGAAACAGACGTGGGAGATTGAGAGGGTGATTGAGAGAGTTTGAGAGGGGATAGAGAGAGTGTATGAGAGAGAAGGGGTGGGGTGGGGGGTGGAAGAAAAAGGTGGTGTGGGGAGAGAGTGTTTGAAAGGGGGGAGATGGAGTGTGAGAAGGAAGAGAGAGTGAAAGAAGGGGACTGAGAGAGAGTAATTGAGAGAGAGGGGAGAAAGAGTGTCTTTCCCCTCCCCCTTTCTGCCCCCCTCCCCCTCTTTCTCTCCCCTTTTCCCGAGCTCTCCCCCTCTTTCTCTCCCCCTCCTCTCCCTCTCTTCTTCCCCTTCCTCTGTTTCTCCCCTCTCTCCCCCACTCTCCCCCCCACCCCCCTTTTTCTCCCCCCCACTTTCTCTCCCAAGCGTGGGTCCTACCCGCAGTGGCAGGAGCCGGCAGTTGGTTGCTAAGGTTGGTAAGAGCCGCACTTATCTTTCTGATAGACTGCAGTAAAGGCTCTGCGCCCTCCCAACCACAGACTCCTGCCATTGCCCTGGGGGGAGTGGGGGAGGGAGGGAGGGAGCAAGTGGAAGTTGTAATAGTGAAAATGGTTGTGGGCCGGATGCGGCCCGTGGGACACCAGTTGGCCCAGTCTGGGAATCCTGCTGGCGGCAGCCAGAAAGTCGGACCACCCTGACTAAGGTCAAACGCCCGACATAAGGCCTGAACCGTTTCACACATCACTGATCGTGGTAAGATCACTGAGATCGAGCACTAGTGAGCGCTCACCCTTCATGCCCTCCGCCTGTCCACTCACCATCGGGGGGGATTTTAGCCTTTCTGCCGCATTCTCTGGAACTCCTTCTCGGAATCTCTGACTTGCTCTCTCACCTCGTTCAAGGGTCCCCTCTCTGACTATGCTTTTAATCATCTTTCCCTCTCTTCGTCTCGCTCAGCTTTCTTCTCCCCATTTCCCTCCAACATGAAAGTTGGAGTACAGTAAAAGCTGAACCTGCTGTTGATGGCCTGGCCTTGGGGCTAAAGGGACTGTCATACCACGTTGCCTGTTCATATCTGCTCTATAACAACATGCACTTGGATTTATTTAGCATTTCATGTGGGCTATAGTGTCTCAGAGTCCCAACAATGGCAGTGTTTGAAATCAAGACAGGGAGAACAGGGAGGTTGAGCACTTTGGGACGTCCTCCTGATGTGAAAGACGCTATACAAATGTTATTTTGTTGTTGTTGTTGTTGAGGTGACCATAGGCACAACAACATCTTGCATTTACACAGCACCCCTCACACAGGGTAGTGTCCCAGAGCGCGTGACAGTGGCGGAGCACGACTCCGAGCCGGGGGGAGGGGGGAAGGTGACCGCAGGCGTAGTTGAACAGGAAAGCCTTCAGGTACGATTTGAAGAGAGATAGAGAGGTCGGAGCCCAGTGATCGAGGCAGCAGCTCCACAGGTTTGGGGTGTAGGGGCTGTAGGATTCGGGGTTGGGGGGTGAGGTCAATAGGTTTAGAAGTCGGAGGTTCTTGTTATAAAGTGATGTCACTACACTGAATTTAGCCGTGTCTCGGGGATTGTGACGTTAGAGAACATGGGCAGTGCTGGGGACGGTGTGTGGTCAGGAAGGGCTCTCACGTCCCCGCAGTCAAACAGCTTTTAGTTGATTGGCGGATTGCAAATTTTTTTTTGTTTGGTCACTCAATTCGTGGCCGTCTGTGGGACGCTGCTGTGTGCGATTGGCTGCTGCGTTACACCCACAAAACGTTACAGTCTATTCCGTGAAGCACTTTGAGGCGTCTCAATGACATAATGAGGCACTAAATCAAACGTAAGGATTATCATTGTATTATTATAATATATCATTATAATGATTACAATAACAAGATTACATTTGTATAGCTCGTTTCCCGTCGGGAGGACGTCCCAAGGCGCTAATATTATTATATTATATTATTATAATATGATATTATTATTATATGATTAAAGCTGAAGGAGAGAACAAAGAGGACCTGAGAGCACAGAATGTGGTCACTGCCCTGAGCATCGCTTCCCCTCCAAGTGCAGCAGCGCCTCCCACTGGCCGCGCCTCCCACTGACACTGACACACTGACCACGTGGCCATGAAACCGGGACACCTTCTCTTCAACAGTGCCTCACGGCAGCTCATTTGCATAGAGGACGGTCCCACAATGCCACTCCCCGTTAAAACTCGTATTTTCTTATTTTAAAAAAAATGGAATTGGAGGGAAGAAACGAACCGGAGAAGCGGACGGTTCAGAAACACGGCGTTGGGCGGCGAACACGGACTCCCACCGTGACACCGACAGGAGACGGCATGCACGGTGACCGTGCAGTGTGGGCCGTGTGGAGGGTATAAATAGCTGTGGGCCGCCCTGTTGTGCTGTGCTCGCTTCGGCAGCACATATACTAAAATTGGAACGATACAGAGAAGATTAGCATGGCCCCTGCGCAAGGATGACACGCAAATTCGTGAAGCGTTCCATATTTTGTAGCTTGTGCTACTGGCGGCCCGCGGGCCACATCCGGCCCTCAACCCCTTGTCCGGTAAAACATCCTCTGGTGGCAGTGTTTCATGTTTTATTCTATCTCCTCTTTGGGTTGAGGGGGGGGCAGGTCACCGGGATCCCCTTGAAGCTGAACTGGTTCGGAGGTGACATGTTTGGCTTCAGGATGTTGGAATCGAGCCCACCCTCCGTGTGGCCTTCTGTATAATAATAATAATGTTTAATTGCTACACCTTTACAAAACATCCTCTCGTGGCATCGTTGGGTATGTTGTACCGGGTGGGAAGTGTCCTCACATGGCTGTGTGCCGTATTTTTCCATAGTTTAATCTCTCTTTCAGGGTACATCAAACCCCAAACTGGATGCTCAATTATCTTTTCCCCACTTTCCCTTGGCTCCCGCACCGTCCCCCCACCCACAGCTCAGGTGTCCAACCAGCACTTATAAGGACAACGTGAGGATAATAATTGTATCATTAAAAACTTAAACCTGAAATTGTTTAGACAAGAAATATCAAATGGAAGGATTATTATTCTTATTAAGAATAATGAAAAGGATAAGAAGAGCTGGGATTAAAGTAAACAACTCCAACTTTTTGTGTGTGAGTGTACGGGGGGTGGAGGAGAGGTGAGGTACAGCACAGTCAAGGACTGAAATTACTTATTATGAAATTACGAAATAGGCTGCGGAGGGGGAGACGGTCTCTGATGCATTGTCAAAGATGTCATCCTTCATAAACAAGGTCCCATCTGCCTGTTCAGGTGGATGTTAAAGATCCGGTGGAACTATTGGAAAACAGAAGGAAGTTTCTCTCTCCTGGTGTCCTGGGCAACAATCCCCCAAATAAAATTGGTCATTCACTTCATGGCTGTTTCTTGGACATTACTGTGCACATTTGCTCCTGTGTTTGCCTACAAAATACACAGTCACAACACTGAAATGTCTCGGCAATGTGGTAAAACACGTATCAAATGCAAGGATTATTATTTACTTTCCCGAGGAACAATGACAAACGGGATCAGTGGACCTGATCCTTCAAAATGGCCGGCAGGGGGCATCATTGGTGCAATATCAGAATTAGAAACAGATTACCAGTGTACGGAGCTCACAATGCTGCTGATTATAGTGCAGTTACACTGCAACAACAACAAAATGACATTTATGGAGCGCATTTCACGTCAGGAGGACATCCCAAAGCGCTGAACAGTCAGGTGTTGGGGAACGATCATGGGGGAGGGGTGGTGTAGGGGGAGGGGTGGTGTAGGGGTGAGGGAAGGCAGAGAGGTGGGAGGGAGACCAAAGGCACAGTCGAAGAGAAGGGTCTTGAGACCGGCCTTGAAGGCGAGGGAGGAAGCGAGGCCAAGGGCCCGTGGGATGGAGTTCCAGAGTGTGGGGGCAGAGAGGCTGAAAGCCCGGCCACCGATGGTAGTTCGGGTCGGGCGGGAGACATGGAGCAGCCGGAGCCCGATGAACGGAGGGAGCGTGCGGGTTGGTAGAGAGTCAGCAGGTCAGAGAGGTAGGAGGGGGTAAGGCCACGGATGGCCTTAAAGTGAGGACGAGGATCTTGAACTCGATCCACTGGGGGATGGGGAGCCAGTAGAGTCGGGCGAGGGTGGGAGTGATGGGGTTGGGTGAGGGTGGTAGTGATGGGATCGGGTGAGGGTGGCAGTGATGGGGTCGGGTGAGGGTGGGAGTGATGGGGTCGGGCGAGGGTGGGAGTGATGGGGTCGGGTGAGGGTGGGAGTGATGGGGTCACTGGTGTGTGAGAGTACATGAGCTGCAGAGTTTTGGATGATCTGCAGGTTGTGAAGGGAAGAGTTGGGAAGGCCGATGAGGAGGGAGTTCCCGTAGTCGAGCCTTGAGGTGACGAATGTGTGGATGAGGGTTTGGGTCCCTGAGGGGTGAGGCAGTGGCGGAGTCTGGCAGTGTTGCGGAGATCATCCCTCCAAATAACACAGAGATCTAATACTCCTCGGGACACACGTTTCACTGCTTTGTGTGCTCCTGGGGGAGGTGTCAGCTTTGTGTGCTCCTGGGGGAGGTGTCAGCTTTGTGTGCTCCTGGGGGAGGTGTCAGCGAGGACACTAGTCCAGGATTGAATAGTGCGAGTGTGGGGAATGGATAGATATTCAATGGATATTTCTGCCTAATTCCTGATGAAACCTTACCAACCAGCCCACTCCCTCGCCTCCTTCAAGGCCCATCTCAAGACCTTCCTCTTTGACCACACCTTTGGTCATCCTCCCCCCCTCCACCCCCTTGCTGATACCAACCCCCTTTACTGTCGAGGCCCTTGGGACGTCTTCCCGACATGAAAGGTGCTACATAAACACCACTTGTTTTGTTGTAGTAATTGTTTTCCTAATGTAGTGCCTTCCCTCAGGAGATTGAAAGTCCAGATGGAACCCATTATTGAGGCTATAATACACAGGAGGCAGATTGAAGCCCAACTTTTCTGATCTTATTTGGAGCTTCTTTATGAAAGCTCTGATCATCCAAACACCTTCTCCAATAGTTGTGACAAACTGGTTGTCAAATGAACTCCAACAGTATGGTTTTGAGACTGATTGAGCAAAGGATCGTAAATAAAGACATCACATTTTATAGCATCATGCTCATTATTCTGTCTGGGTGAAAGAGGTTTCTCAGCACAAACACTGCAGAGGTGCAAAATGTTCCTGTTATTCTAATCATTCCTATTAAACAAATATTGACCAGTGTATAAAAGCTGAATCGGTGTCAAACACAGACATTACTGGGTAGTCTATCTGAGAACTTACCGATCCATATCCCCAGACTGACGGCCATAGCCACACGAGGGGTTCTTTGCCTCAAGGATCGGAGTGGATAGACTGTCACATACCATCGGTCTACACTCATAGCGGTCAGTGTAACACAGGTCGCTTGTACTGATACCTAGATTAAACAGAATGTATGTCTGAGGACATAACATCAACAACAAATTACATTTGTGTAGCGTCTCTTATGTCGGGAGGACATCCCATTTTGCTGGATTTGGACCCGAGCTGGTGGTTGGGTTAGGATCAGGAGGAGTGGAGGGCAGGGAGGGTAGATCAAAATAAATAAATCAAAATTGAAAGTTTTACAATACAAAGTTACACTCGTATAGCGTCTTTCACATCGGGAGGACATCTCCAGGCGCTGAATTACCATTGAGGCTGATATTGGAATCACAGATCGCTGTCTGGATCTCTTCCCTGACTGACAGTGATATCAATCTTAGTTTCAGATGCAGGTAATTTATAACCTCCTGCTTTTACCCGGCTCTGAACCATTATTTCCATATTAACAGAGTTTGAGTTATAACCATTACATTTTAAATAACATTTTATAACATTTCCCAAAGTACCTGAAAAAAATGTGGATTTCTATATGTTTAAATGCAAAACTGCACATAATGTCAAACAGGGGAAAGATTGCCATAAAATATTTGTAGCAAGATAGCTCAGGGTGAGGTGAACAACAGACTTCAAATTGCTTTTCATGGAGCTTGTACTCATGATTTCCAATGCAATCAATGTGAGGAAAACACAATTATTTTAAATCAACAATTGAAGGTAGTGGAGAATCCTGAAGACAGGAATAATAATAATAATCCTTGCATTTGATATCGCGCCGTATCAAGTTTTCAAGATGTTTCAAAGCGCTTCACAGAATATACTGTAAAGTGAATTGACTGTATATTTTGTGAGCGAAACGTGATTACCCCAAGATGGCATGCAGGACAGAAAGCAAAACTAGCTTCATATTTTATAGTGTATTTTTGGGCCAGCAAGTCAACAAACTGCAAAGAAAACCCAGGAGTCTGATCTCACTTTTGGCTGAAAATTAGCCTGAGCTCTACGGGTTCTCTTTCCCTCATTAAACTTAAATTTGTCACGGTCTCTCAACCTGTTGTGATGCTGCGTCATACACATCAGGAGGGTCCCAGTCCTTGGGTAAATTGGTTGATCACAGTGAGTGCCGTGCTGGGAAGGCTACAGTACGTTTCAGTGTTGCCCTGGCTAACAAGAACAATCACTGAGAACGTCATCCCCGTCTGAAGGTCACACGATAAAACTGTCTGTTCACTCTGCTTGGTGACTGATTGAAACCAAACCCCAACACAAGGACATTCCCTCAGGCCAGCTGTAAAGAACAACCTGAATCCAGCACAGATGATGTGTCTTATCAATGGAAGAATAAGAGGACAGAAGTCCCTGAACACTCTGTTCCTGGTAGCTGTCTGTCCAAAACATGGGAGATGCCGTTAATTTTCAATCTATGGATGGAGGCTGACAGAAAGCCTGATGTTACTAGGAGCTGTCCCACTGAAATTGGCTTATGGCACATTGTTGAGGCAGCAAGCACTTACACATTGTCTTTCATGTAAGATTAATGTCTCATGGCGTTTAACACATATAATAGTGGGGAGAAATGAATTATGGATGTTGACCAAAAGCACGGTCAAAGAGATATATTATTAAGAGGGTTTTGAAGGCAGATTGGGAAATAAATCACAGAGATTTCCAGAGGACAGGAGGCAGTGGATGACGGCAGAGAGATAAGAACTACAGAGAGACCACTTATAGTGCTATCACATTTATAGTGCTATCACATTTGTCAGTGAGACATTAGGTCCATTTTTTTGGTGTCAGTCTGGTTCAGTTGGTAATATTCTTGTCTCTGAGTTAGAAGGTTGTGGGTTCAAGCCCCACATTGGAACTCATATAGTTTAGGCTGGCAATTCAATACAGTGCTGGGGGAAGTGCTGCATTGTTGGAGGTGCCATCCTTCGAATGAGACTTTAAACTGAGGTCACGTCTACCTGACTTTAAAGATCCCTTCTAAAAGAGAAGGGAGTCTCTCCCAGTGTCTTGGCCAACTATCCCACAAATAAAATTGGAAATTCACTCCATGGCCGTTTGAAGGACACTGGTGTGTGTAAATTAGATGCCACGTTTTCCTACAAAACACAAATATGGGATACTTTACAATATATCCTGTGAAGCGCTTGGAGATGTCTCAACGATAAGGCACTCTATCAAATGCAGTGATTATTATAATCTACATTTATAGAGCACCTTGCATGTCATGAGGATGTGCTTCAAACAACTGATTGATAACTTGAGCTGTGAGGGCGGAAAGGTGGCCGAAAGCGAAGTGGCAGAGATAGCATTTAAGGTGGGTTTTGAAGGCAGTAGTGTATGAGAGAGAGAGGAGGGCAAATGGAGGGACTCTAGGATGGTTTCAGACAATAGGGGCAGATTGGCTAAAGGCTTGCCCACCATCGGGGGCCAGAGAATGCAGGGGATGTGACTCAGGCTGGTGCTGGGAGGAGGGGATAATAGGGTCGCGGGAACTTAGGGTTCAGGTGGGCAGAGGCTACGGAACCATCTGAAAGAGAGGAAAAAAATCCTGGGATTGCGAGCTGGGGGAACCGAGCGAGGATGGAGTGATGGATAGTCTGCAGCTTGTGCCAAACAGTTTCAGTTATTCATTTTAAAATCGTGTTCTCACTCCGTTATCTGTCAGAAAATGGCTTCAAACAAACTGAAATCATCGGGGGATGAAAGGTAAACTGGGCGGAGAGAGAGATGTGGGGGGGGGGGGGGGGAGTCCACTGGGAGGGAGGGAGAGTCCACTGAGAAGAAGTGTTTATGTAATTCAGTCTCTCAGTTATTGCCAAATGTTTCTGCCTCTTTGTAGATGTTAAACAGGACTTGTGATGGGGTTCACTCTTTGAAGCCTGGACCAGTTGAAACCGGATGCTAACCCTACGTAAAGCAGGAAGCATTTCATCTATGGCTATTACATTTGTACCAACTGTACTATGGTTAGTACAAATGAAATATTGCTCTGTGACACAGGCCAAATGAATGAAAAAAGAATTACTTGAAAAGTAAAAACTTTAATATTTTTGAAAAGGTAACTTGAATGACATGCCTTAAATCTAGTACTGCAGATAGTTTAGTATATCATATATCTATTTGTCTTTTTTAAACATGCCAACAAATATATGACAATAATTTATGACTCAGAAAAGTTATTTTTTCGTCTTCAACAGTTACACGCACTGTGACCTGTCAACAGGTAGAAATGCTGATTTTTAACCATCTCCCATCTCTCTGGCCTGCAGGAAGCTGGCTGCTGGGGTCATTACTGGGAATGATCAGGGTGAAAGTAACCGAGATGGGGATGTCGCGTGCGGGAATCTCACCTGCTGGATGTAGTTGACGAACTTGCACATGAATTCCCCAAAGACCCAGCTGGGTAGAGGGTACAGCATTGCGGTGAAAGGCACACAGCAGATCAGGAATATGATGTCAGTCGTCGCCAGGTTTGCTGGAGAAAGAGAAGAGAACATTGTCAGAACTCGTCCTGTAGTGGTTAGTGTGCTCACCTCAAAAGTGAGAGGACCCAGGTTCGATTCCCAGCCGGGGCGAAACCTTAGGCAAGCAAGTTTCCTTACTCCACACACCTCTGTTAACCTAGCAGTTAGTAGGAACCTGGTTGTAAAGTTGATTGGTGGATCGCTTTCTGGGAGGTAATAGTCGCTTCAAATTTTTTTTAAAAAAAATAATAATTTGGTCTCTCAATCCACAACTGTTTGTGGGACGCTGCTGTGCACAATTGGCTGCCGGGTTTCACCTAAAATACACAGTCAATCAACTTTACAATATATTCTGTGAAGCGCTTTGAGTCGTCTCAACAACAAGATAATAATAACAATACATAACCCTTGCATTTGATATAGTGCTTTTTGCATCTTCTAGACATCTAGATAAGGCAAATGGAAGAATTATTATTATAACTACCTGCTAAAAGGCTTTATTGTAATCACTACACAAAGTGAGATTGTCCTTTCCTGCACCAGGCTCCCGTGCCCATTGCCTCCCATACCCGCACCCCCCTCTCCCCACTTCCTATATTAGTTTGCTGGCTTCCCATCCCCCAGCGGACAGGATTCCAGATTTTTGTTTTTTCTTTTCGATGGCTTCCCATCTCATCTCACCCCGATCAAACCCTGTGACCCTGAAACACTCCCTCCTTCACATCTCTGCTCGATCCACACCACCACCACTGTGTGAGCTCTCAGCCATTCTCGTACCGCTCTCTCCATCTCCGCACCCCTCACCCACTTTCAAACCTGCTCCAGTTTCCCATTGATTGTTCTCCTTTCCCAGTACCCCTCCATCCAAGTCAGTTGCATGAAACGATTTAAGATCTCCCGATGTGAATGGCGCTGTGTAAACACAAATTGGTGTGTCATAATCACAACCCTTGTGCTTGATACAGCATCACATCCCGGGTTTCTGGGCTGTGTTTTTGCAGCTCAGCATACGTTCAATTAGCAGATGATGATTGACGTCTTTGCTTGTCGTTAACATTCAGTAAGTGTCGTCCAGTCAATCACACAAATAACAATCGTTGTGACCATTAATCTTATGGTTGGAAGCCAGACACTGATTGCTGAATCTTGGCCGGGGTCTGAGCTCTGGCTGTCAATACAAATAATCTTTCCATAGATTTTTTTGAAAAAAATTGCTCATGTTTTAAGGAAAACAATTCAATGGGAAAATAATCATTTGTTGTTATAAAAGTAGAAAAGGAAAGCAAAATGAAAAATTTCAACCACAAAATACAGAGTCAATTCACTTTACAGTGTAATCTGTGAAGCACTTTGAGACATCTCAATTATTATTATTATGACATTTATATCCATTAAATTTAGCAATTATAACTAGTTTTGGAGATCAAATGATGGTTTTCTGTTGTGGGTCAGCCTTGGCTCAGTTGGTAGCTCTCACCTCCGAGTCAGAAGGTTGTGGGCTGGAGCCCCAACGTCAGGACTTGGAATCACACAGTCAGTGCTGGGGGAGTGCTGCATTGTTGGAGATGCCGTCCTTCAGATGAGATGTTAAACCAACGTCCTGTCTCTGTCTGTTCAGGTGGATGTTAAAGATCCCACGGCACTATTTGAAAAGCGAAGGGAGTTTCTCTCTCCCCGTGTTCTGGCCAATAATCCCCCCAATAAAATCAGTCACTCACTCCAGGACTGTTTGTGGTACGTTGTTGCGTGCAACAGGCTGCCACGTTTCACCCACAAAATACACATCATCAACACATTTACAATATATCCAATAAAGCGTTTTTGGAGACGCCTCAATAACGTGATAAGGCGTTGTACCAAAATGCAAAGATTATTATTATTATTAGGTCTCAGCTCCACTTCGTGGAGTCCTGTAGCTCAGTGGTTAGAGCACTCGCTTTGCAAGTGAGAGACCTGAGTTCAATTCCAGGCAGAGGGCGAAACCTTGGGCAAGTTTCCTTACTCCACACAGAGCCTAATAATAATCCTCCAAAACAAACAATAATAAATTGGTCATTTTCAATCTACGACTGTTTGTGGGACATTGCTGTGCGCAATTGGTCGCCGCGTTCGCCCACAAATATACAGTCAATTCACTTTACAGTGTGTTCTGTGAAGCGCTTTGGGACGTCCTCCTGACATGAAAAGCGCTATATCAAATGCAAGGATTATTATTATTAAGACCTTTCTTTTTGACCGCGCCTTTGGTCACCTTCCCCCACCCCTCCCCCCGGCTCGGCCCCGGGATCCGTCACTGTAAAGCGCTCTGAGATGCCGTCCAGCGTGGAGGGCACTATATAAATCCATGTTGTCGTTGTTATAATAATAATTGTGGGCATTTCACAAAATACACAGTTACTGCACTTCACAGTATATCCCACAAAGTGCTTTGAGACGTCTCGACGACGGGATAAGGCTCTCTATCAAATGCGAAGATTATTATCATTATATTTTAAGGTTAGTATTACTGTTAATTTTACTGTAAAAATACAGCATATTTTATGAGAAACAATTCACGAGGTAAAAAAATAAAAACATTTGGTTGTGACTAAAGTAGGAAAGGAAAATGTCAATTAAGATTATAACTAGTTTTAACTCGAGATCAAAGCAGTTTTGTGTTTTAACTTGGAGGCAAAGCATGTTAACAAGTGCAAAGTGCAAAACTGCTTTGATCTCTAGCCAACACTAGTTAGCAATAATAATAACAACAATCCTTGCATTTGATATAGCGCCTTATCTAGTATTTGAGACGCCTCAAAGTGCTTCACAGAACATACTTTAAAACTAACTGTATATTTTGTGGGCAAAACAAGCACTCCCACAAACAGTCGTGGATTGAGTGACCAAATTATTATTGTAAAGTATCCTGAGTGAATTCTAATCCGGTCAAAGCTTAACTGCTTAATAACGGTTCAGAAAACAGTCACGAGCTGGTGTTACTTACATTTTTTTTAACAAAAGACATCTTCAAAATCAATAAATTGGCTGCCGTGTTTTGCTCACAAATTATACAGTCAATCCACTGTACAGTATATTCTGTGAAACGCTTGAAGACGTCTTGAAGACATGACAACCCGCTATATCAAATGCAAGGTTTATTATTATTATTATTATTATTGCTAACTAATTTTGTCGAGCGATTAAAGTGCGTTAACACTCCCTTTGCCTCCAAATTAAAATGCAAAAACTGCTGCCAAGTTCAAGTGCAAAATTGCTTTGATCCCTGGACAAAACTAATTATTAGGTTAAATAACGGTTTTCTTTCCTTTTCTATGTTTGTCGCAGCCCAATGGGTTTTTACTATTCTTTATTTAGTGAATAGTTTTCCTTAAAATGTGCTAAATAATCGCGTTTCGGCCACAACATTTACACTCAATTTACTTTACAGTTCTGTGAAGCGCTTCGAGACGTCTCGAAGACGTGATAAGTATTATTATTATTATTGTTGTCAATAAAATGCAGCAATTCTGCGAGTACCTATGTACAGGTTGGTGGCTGTCCTCATGTGGCGATGTCGGGTGACCACGAAGATGACCAGGGAGTTGCCGGCCAGGCCCAGCAGCAACAGGAGGCAGAAGAAGACAGGAACCAGCCAAGCGTCCACCAGCAAAGGCGGCCCGCGGGCCGCAGTGCCGTTCGCATCTCCGCTGCCACCGCAGGAGGCGTCACAGGGCGCCAGGGAACCGTTCATTGGGAGGCAACTGAGGCTCGAGCCCCACTCCCCCCCCCCGGGTCCCCCCTCCCCTCCCACCCGCTGCTTCCTCGGATCCCAATGCCCAACTCCCTGCTCCGGAGCCCCTGTTCCCGGGTCCCGGGTCCCGGTTCCCGCCCTATCAGAGTCCGGCTGTCGGCTCCCAATTCCCAAATCCCGGCCCCCGGGGCTCAGGGGACAGTCGGGGACATCCTCCTCCCGGTCAGAGCCGAGCGGCAGTGGAGAGAGAGAGAGAGAGAGAGCGATAGAGAGAGAGAGAGATGGAGATGGAGGGAATGAATGAATGAATGAATGAGTGAGAGGCGGTGTGGGAGCCGCTGCCCCTTTATCCTCCTCCTGACGCGCTGACTGAGCTCATCTGTCCCCGGAATATATACAGTCATCATCATCTTCATCATCATCTCCATCTCCCTGTGCTGTGTCAGGGCCGCCCTCAGGGAGATGGGATGGGAATCAATCCCAAACCATAAAGATCGACACTTTTCTTCCATCGTCAAAGGTGTTTAATGGTAATAAATGTCTGTGTGTCTCTGGGCCATCTCTGTGATCCCCTCACCTGCCCCTCATCAAATGTTCTGACATTAATTGCTGCCTCACAACAGCCCCAACCTGACACCCACACCAACCAGCACTGTGTGAGTGTATCCAAACCAAACTGAGACTCCCACAGTTATAATAATAATAATAATCCTTCCATTGACACAGCGCCTCATCACATCTTCGAGACGTCTCAAAGCGTTTCACAGAGTATACTGTGAAGTGAATTGATTGTGTATTTTGTGGGCAAAACGCGGCGGCCAATTGTGCACAGCAGCGTCCCTCACACAGTCGGGGATTGAAGTGACCAAATTATAATTGTTTTTTTTCTTGAGGGATTATTATCAGCCGTGTGGAGTAAGCGAACTTGCCCAAGGTTTCCACCTACACGTGGAAATCCTAGAGGTAGATTGTTGGAATGGAATGCATTCCCCCTCTCTCCCCCCGGAGGAACGTCCTCCTGCTTACCTAATTCTGGAAAGTATTAGGCACAGGTTGGCAGGAGCCAAGGCTTGGGGACCCCAGAGTGTGCGTTGGGGTAACTGCTGGAGTCTAATTAAACCCACATAACTTGCCATTGAAAGTGCTGTCTGGCAAGCTTTCCTGCTGCTTGTCCAGCTAGGACCACCCTAACCAGTCGGGCTTTGGCTGCAGAGTTAATAGGAGCTGAGGGGGAGGATTCCCTGACCCGGGTGATATAGTCACTAGTTTGTTGTTTGACATCCAACAAGCACCGATTTGAGCCTCCCCAGGTAGATGGCAGGTACCAGGAACTCCCTGGTGGGCAACACAGCTTAGCATGAAATGTGTGAGAGCATTGCCACCATCTTTCTGTCTGCAGCTTAGGCTTCCCATTATGCGATGGTTCTACCAATTGGAGGTGTGAAATTTAAGCAGCAGGCTGCTTACCCATCCCCAACCTTCCCTACACACCTTCGTCTTGGTCTCACTGGGGGTCAGTGAATAGAAACCACAATTATGTTCTGGAACTCTGATGGAGTGCGTGCCTCAAAGAAAGTCCTGTTGACCAGCGCTAGGAGAGCAGCTCCAAGGTCTGTTGGAGGGCACTCATGTTCTCTGCCCCACTCCTTCCCCACGTCAGAGCAGCTTTTAGGAACTCAGTGTTTTAAGGCCATCCAACCAGCTGCCTTAAATGCCCCACCATTGGCAGAAGAGCCTTCTGGAATTCCATCCCCCAATCACTCCGCCTCGTCCCCTCCTTAAAGTCGCACCTCAAAACCCTCCTCTTCGACCAGCTCGGGTCTGAAATGCTGTACACTGTCCAGCGCCTTGGGATATTCTCCTGACGTGAAAGGCGCTATACAAATGTGATCTTGTTGTTGTTGACTGTTCACCTCCTCCCAACACATTCGGTCATTAAGGCCTTCAATCAATTCCATACCTTCTTCCAGCCTCCATGCAGATGGATCTCTGCTCCAACTTGTTAAGTCAAATGCCAACTCTGCATATTACTCCCGGCAGACCCCAAGGCTACCCTCCCTTGTGGGTTTGTTGCAGAACGCTGGACTTGTCCAACACTGATGGTTCTTGTGGAGTTGCCCCCTTATGGAGTGATGCAGACCATTAATTCCACAATCAGGTCCATTTCCAGCCTGTTATAAAGTGCTGGTTCTGTGCCACTCACGTTCTCAACCAGAGGAACCACAGGGTCACAGACAGATAGTCAAATTCCACAGATTTGCTGAACGATTTGTCATATAGTTTAAGATCATGTGGAAAATTCTGAGATTCCTAAAGCTTGCATTTCAAGTCTGTTTTTCCAGTCCATTAAAAGAATCAACTTCCAAATCTGATCTGAATTCCACCATTTCCCAGTGTTCTGCTTGATTTTAAACTTTAAAATGAAATTATCTCACATGGCAAGTGTAGGTGTGATTTCAGGCATTGTACTGAATGCATTTGTCCTTGTGAAGTAACCAGGAGGTTTACTCTCTGTATAAAATATTAGCTGTACCAGTTGCAGCAACGCTTGCAACCAAAGGATCCAATATGGAATGTAGATTTCAGTGATACTACTCATAACCATTTAACATGCCATAAACATTGCGTGTACACCTTGCATGCCTTTTGCATCAAAGACATCCATGTTGCCCTTTATTAACCCATATTTTTTGAAGTCAAAATTTAATTTGGCCGGGATTAGTCTCTAGAAGTTTCCCAATTACTGACGTTAGGCTGACTAGCCTGTACTTCCCGGGTTTATCCTTCTATCCCTTTTTGTACAGGGGAGTAACATTTGCAACCCTTGTTTTTGCAGTCCTTTCAGAATTGAAGTTCAGCCGTGCTGTTCTTTGTTCTTCAATTTCATTTAATCGGTCTTCTATCTTTTGCTGGCATTTTTATTTGGCCTTGAAAGTCTTGATTTTTGCTGAGAAAATGTCCTATTGGGAGGACTCCTGTCGGAGGATTGAGTGGGAAGACACCGTAGGAGGACTCCTGTTGGTAGGACTCTTGTGGGAGGACTCCTGGTTGGGAGGATTGTAGCTCCCACGCAGCAACAACAACAATTTGCACTTATGTAGCTCCCTCCATGCAGGGTAGTGTCTCAGAGCGCTTAAAAAAAAGTCTGCCATACATTTGTTGCAAAATATATTGGTGTAGAATGGTGTGTGCTTTCCTCTGTCGCTACTTTGGTCACCTTCCTCCCCTCCCCTGGCTCGGTCCCGGGATTCGTTAAAGCGCTCTGAGATGCCGTCCGGCGTGGAGGGCGCTATATAAATCCAAGTTGTTGTTGTTGCAGAATACCGTGCATACCTCATATTTGGGGGCTTATTTAAAGCATTTTTTTAATGTAGTTCATCAACAACAGGAGTTCCCCCAAAAATATGCCCATGACACTCCTACATGTAAGACTTTTCTGATGAGGTATATGTCTCTACGTCAATCAGATATTGGCAGAAACACTGACATACAGATACATGGACACAGACACTTCATTTTTATTAGTATAGATGATCTGTCCATTCCTCTCAGTTCATGTCCGTGTTGTACAGTTTGCGATCTGTTGTATTATTTGTGTTCAGTTTATTCCTTGTAACCCCCACCCCACCCATCACCCCTGCGCCACCCCCCCCCACACTCCTCCCTCACTCTGCTCGGCTAACTCAGTGCTTACTACACATCCTTCATTGCCGTCCTGGTCTCTATGTGTATTTTTTGGGCAAAACACAGCAGCGAATCCCACAAACAGCCATAGAATGCGTGACCCATTTTATGTGGGGGAATTGTAGGACAGGACAATGGGAGAGAGAAAGTCCCTTCTCTTTTCGAATAGCACGATGGGATATAGGAATTTTTACCAAAATATGTGATCTTTTCAAAGTATAAAAATATCCTGGTTTGCAGAGGACATTGTAACGGGCGATACACAGGCCTGAATATTGCTGCTTGATGTTACAGTACTGATTTACATATTCCATTCATCTTACCAGTAGATCTTATCCATATCTAAAGGAAAGGAGCCAAGTACTGAGAATAAATATTTTATACACTGAAGATCGCTGCAGCTTGATCATTGGAATATCTCACTGTGATTTCTTTTCTCTCGAGGCTTCAAACTAAAGTAATAATTCAAAATTGCCTTTCGAACAAGAACACACTGAATTGCTACCTAATGGTGTTAGCACATTATCAGTGCAATAAATCCTGTTGATGAATATTACAAATTTGTTCCCATTAAGTATCATTGCAATTCCTCCACCAGTTATTAACTCTCTCCACCCTGATTCCTGAGTCTCTCCCAAGAACAACAATTTGCATTTTTATGGAGTCTTTCAAGTCATATGTGAGGGTGGGGTTCACACGCAAGGGGGAGGAGGAGAGGACGTGGGCTACAGAGTTCTGATGGGCTGTAGGTGCTGAAGGTATAGGAATGAGCTTGGGAATCCAGTGAGGAGGGCATTGGATTAATGGAGGCTAGAGGTAGGTGAGGGAGGTGTGAATGAGGGCTGCAGCAGCCCGGGGGAGGGGGGGGGGGGAATTCTCCCTCATTTACATGAACTGCTCATGATTCTGTTTCTCCACGGAATTTTGACCCCAGGTTCCTGAAATGAGAAAATACAGAAATTAACAGAAAAGAGATTATTTAGCACATATTTTGAAACATTTCGCAGTGACGGTTGTTATTAATAACAGCAACAGGGACGAGGGGGAGCAAGGATCCGAACAACACCACGCAAAGCTAAACACGCTGATCATGAACTTCAAAATATAGCTGCGACCTTGATGTTTTATTTGGGAGCAAATCAATGACTTGACACTTGACATCAGAAGAGGATGTTTTGTGCCGTGTGGCTAAAGGGAAAGGTTTGATATAAACACCCTAAGCTCAGTGGAGTGTGGACACAGAGAGGGGGACAAACAGACCAGAGATAGATTAAACAACCTGATTATTAACTATCTGCTTAAAGGTCAGGACAGAA